GCCACATCCCCATTGAGTTCCTGATGAAGGCTCTTAGGGTCCCATTGATCTTGTACAATTCTAGGCATTCCAGTATCCAGCTGTGGGGCATTGAGTCATAGGCCTTCTTGTAATCAATCCAGGCAGTGCACAGGTTGGTCAGTCTGGTCTTGCAGTCTCGGCTGATTGTTCTGTCTACCAGTAGCTGGTGTTTTGCGCCTCTGGTATTCTTGCCAATTCCTTTCTGTGTCCCGCTCATGTATTGACCCATGTGCCTGTTCATCTTAGCCGATATGATGCCTGACAGGAGCTTCCATGTAGTACTGAGGCAGGTTATTGGTCGGTAGTTGGAGGGGACCGGTCCCTTCTTGGGGTCCTTGGGGATCAGGACCGTCCGGCCTTCAGTTAGCCATTCCGGGTGTCTCTCGTTAACTAGCAGCTGGTTCATTTGTGCTGCCAGACGCTCGTGGAGTGCAGTCAGCTTCTTCAGCCAGTAGGCGTGAACCTACATATATACATATATATATATATATATATATATATATATATGTATATGTATATATATATATATATATATATATACATTGGGTGAATGTGCAGTAGTAGCAGCAAGCAGGTGAATTCTGTACATTAATATGAATAGATATCTGACTATTTTACAGGATAGACAATATAAACACATTTAAAATTAAAGGAATTGAAATGTACATTGTGCCTTGGTTTAGAGTGTTTGGAAGAGAGTCCTGTCTCAGTCAATTATAGATGATGTGAGAGGGCGGGTGTGTGTGTGTTTAGGGCACGGATGGCTTGGGGATAGAAGCTCCTCTTGAGTCTCTCTGTCCTTGCCCGGAAGATGCGGAACCTTCTACCAGATTGCAGAAGTTGGAACAGTTTGTTGCCTGGATGGGACGGGTCCTTCAGTATCTGCGCTGCTCTAGTCCGGCATCTCCTGGTGTAGGTGTCCTGAAGCGGGGGGAGAGCAATCCTGCAGCAGCGTTCTGCTGTACGGATCACTCTCTGGAGAGCTTTTTGGTCCTTCACACAGCTGTTCCCAAACCACGATGTCATGTTCTGTGTGAGGATGCTCTCCACAGCGCCTGTATAGAAAATCCTGAGGATCTTTGGAGAGACCCTGAACTTCCTCAGTTGTCGTAGGTGATACAGGCGCTGCCTAGCCTTTTTGGTCTGGACCTGAATGTGGGCAGCCCATGTCAGGTCTGAGGAGATGTGGACACCGAGATACTTGAAGGACTGCACCCTCTCCACCGGAGCTCCATTGATGATAATGGGCTTGTAGTCTCTGTGCTGACCCCTTCTGAAGTCCACCACCAGCTCCTTGGTCTTGCTGACGTTCAGCTGGAGGTGGTTGTCCTGGCACCATGATGCAAGATTCTTCACTTCATCCATGTAGGCCGCCTCATCGTTGTTGGAGATGGCACCCAACACCACTGTGTCGTCAGCAAACTTCACAATGGTGTTGGAGCCATGGGTGGCCACACAGTCTGAAGTGTAGAGGGAGTAGAGCAGTGGCGAGAGGACACATCCCTGAGGTGCTCCTGTGTTGATGGTGATGCTGTTGGAGAAGCACCTGCCCACCCTCACCACCTGAGTTCTGCCAGTGAGGAAGTCCAACACCCATGCACACAGACGGCTGTTAAGTCCCAGATCCCTGAGCTTTGTGAACAGTCTGCAGGGCACTATTGTGTTAAACGCTGAACTGTAATCACCAAACAGCATTCGCACATAGTTACCCTGTTTCTTGTCCACGTGGCTGAGAGTGGTGTGTAGGACGTGGGCGATGGCATCATCTGTGGATCTGTTGGATCTGTTCCACAGCCTCATGTGATTGCCTTAAGTGATCAGAGGACGAAAAACAAATGGTGGCTGGACTGATCATCTGTGCTGCATATTAAAACATATTCAGAGAAATAAAGCTGCTTCGTACTTTCCTGGATGAGAACAGAAAACATTTTGTCTTCATTATTCTGAGGACGGCTTCTGATGAGCACTGATTTCATCATCTCCACCTCCTGAACACAAACACATCTTTAATTAAAAAACAACAACAACAACAAAAAAAAAAAAAACGCTGAATGTTCAGGAACCTGGTTTTATGTTCTTAGTAGAGCTTTCCATCTAATGAACACTCATCAAACCAAAGTCTTGATATTCTATTTAAAAGACAAAAACGAGAGCTGGATACATTTTGTGACAATTTTTAATTCTTCCTTGCACTTGAGTATATTCAGGTTTTCTGCTCTACCGACCTTAGGGCCATGAGAAGACATCATTGGTTCTCGAGCAGGTCCCAGAAGTCCTGGATGTTCTGCCTCATATAATATGGTTCTTTGAAACAGCAGGTGGCTGTCTTTATTCTTAGCCAGACCTTTGTGCCTAAGATCACTATATTAAGAATATCTATTTTTACTGACATCACACCCCCAAGGATTAACTCTACAGACACCGACTTCATTATTTGAAACCTGAAATTTATATTTAATGTGAGCATCAGTCAGTGGTGCATACACTCCCCAGCTACGTCACTGGGAACAACTTTGTGTGGCTGTGTATGTGTCTGTGCCATAATCCTAGTCTTGTGTTTCAGGGCCAGAGTCTGTTACTGGGCTTCCATCCTCTGTTTCATATCGCTTGTCATCTGCTGCCTGATTGTTGAACTGATCTGTTAGTGAAAGTCTGCCTCCGAATGCACTGCATTTTACCTCTTCTGTTTGCTCTTTGTCTTTTGTACTTACGCATCTCTCTTCTGTGCAGAAACTCTGGTGAGAAAGTTGGAGAGATTGTTTGAGGGAGTGAAAATGTGAATCTGCCTGATTGCCTGGGTTTGGTCCTCACTGCATGAAAGCCTTGTTTCCTTGGATTCATTTATTGTAAACCTGTGAACTTTGATCTCAGAATCCTGCATTTAAGTCTATCCAAGTCCACTGGTTTTGACAGATTCAGCTAAAGAAATGGGGAAAAATGTGTTTTTGTGACAGGCTACCAACAACAAAGTGTCTAAAGGTACAATTTAAAATTGGTTCTTTGCTGAGATGTCTTTTATGAGTAGACACAAAACTTGTATATCCATTGAGTTAATTGCCCTTTTTATAATAGAATGATTTATAGGTCCGTGTTACGTAGCTTACCAAGGAAGACATTCCTCAGAAAATGGTCAGGTACAAGGACTGGTCTGAAAAAGAGAGAAGAAAATATTTGAAGGTTATTGCTCAAGACCTCAAGAAATTGCAAGAAACTCAAGTTCCTTGTATGCAAAATAAAAAGAAATGATGGGTGGGTCAAGACTTTTGCATGGTACTGTATGGGAAAGATGCCTTTTTGCAAGCTGGAGTTAAAAATCAGCAACAAACTGGGTCACAGCTGCTGGTCAGCTGATCTAAACTACATTAAAAATTGACATTTCTGAAGTCTTTCCAGAGACAGACAGGAGGTGTGTTCACTGCTCCCCCATCATCTTCCCCCGAGTGTTGGATGGCGTCAGTGCTCAGCTGATCCATCATCACTGTAGACAGCAAGACCTCTAATTAAAATTCACCTTATCACCTCCAGACCCAAGTGACATGAGAAGAGATTCTAGGCAGTCATTAGTGTTGGTAGAGAACAAAACGGTTCTCAGAAAAGCATCACAGACTATAAACAGTGCAGGAAAAACTAAAGGGAGCAAATTAAATTAAGAAAAACAATAGATTACAACGCTGTAATGGTGCAAATTGAAAACCATGAAGCTTTCTTAACCATTTACCTGCATTAGGACATCTGTTTTTCAGTACTTAATTTTTGTCAAATTGCACAAAGGAATTTTTGAACCACTAGTGATAACTCTGTCATCTGTTCTTGCACCTGTTCCAGGCACAGTGACACAGTGACAACTTTTAAAATGCATGGTTGCAGGTGATCAACTTCAGCTATTGCGAAGCATTCCCACTTTTTAATGCCAACACACTAATACACCAGTGATCACATAGTAACACCTCAGCAGTCTGTTAGCAAAAACAAGCAAGCCACAGCAACCAGTGGCTGAGTGTTTGTGGGGGTTTCATATCTCCACTAAATGAAAGCTGCAACCAACCCATAAATGTATGGGGCCCTTGTACCCACAACACAATACTGAGCGTGTATCAGCGCCATTTTACTCAATATGAACCCCCCTGTGTAGCAACACCAAAACAGTAAAGTTTAAGTACTGAATTGAACCTGAATAAAATTGTTAATAATAAAATGCCTTCACTGATCAATTATTTTGATTGAACTGAATCCAGATGCTGAACAGCAGCAGATGATTCCTGTAGTTTTCTGTCACCCTCTGGGCCCCTGTTGCACAGCTGAACCTTGTTCATTCACTTAACACTGCAAGAAATGTTCCCCCAACGTTCAAAACACTTCAAGGCTTTAATGTGAAAGTGGCCTCTTGTGGTATAAAACTGCAAACTGTATATAAAAAGATGGAGGAGAGGTGACTCTTACCCTAGGCATTATCACTGTAGTTGTCCCAATGTGATTCTCTCTCTCTCTCTCTCTCTCTCCCTCTCTCTCTCTCTCTTTCTCTCTCTCTCTCTCTCTCTCCCCCTCTGTGTGTCTTTTAGATACAGACTGATCAGATTAGTTATCAGATAAGGCCAGCAATCCTAAATATCAAGGAGTATCCAAAAGGTGTATGAGCTAATTAATGCTGAGTGATAAACTAATGCTACAACTGTACTGATCAGAAACAAAAGAATATTTTTTTCCACTTAATTTCATCAAAACTTGCTCCAAAATGCACCAACAGCACAAATAGAGGTAGAGAGGTCAAATTCAGTGGATATTTTTATTTAATTAATTAATTAATAATTATTTTTTTTTGCAGTGGCCACTCCTGTCTCCCCCCGTCTCCGTGATACGCATGCACGCAGATGAACAGGCAGGTGGACAAACTTCTGCTGGAGCTCAAGGGCTGAAGGACACCGTAAAGCGCAGGTGATAAGCGGCTTTAATCGGTTAATTTGGCCTCGGTGGCCTTTGTGCTAGCGGGCTGCAGGCAAACACTCGGGAGCTGGAAAAATCCACGGCACGACACTTTCTCTGCTGTCTGACCCCAGAGTCCTTCGGCTATCTTCCCAGCGTTAAAGAAAGAAGCAGTTTTCTATTGATATGAAGATTTTAATGCGCCAAGAACTGCATTTGTATTCTTCTGGATTTTTTTTCATCACTAAATATTCTTTGTGACAAAAATCTGACTTCATCACCATATTTTTAATATTTAAATAAAAGTTTAACTTTGTAAATACCAACTTGTGTTTTTGTCCATCTGCTTTTACGCAGAGGATTTTTGCGTAAAAGGCGCAACGGTGCGCACTGGAGCTCGTCACTGCAGTCTGCTACAGTCTAAGTGGAGTCTGTGTGACAGCATGATAAGGCTACAGTGTGGCAGTCGGACTCCAACCCGGCCTTCATGAGCCCGTTGGCCGCGCTGCTGTGGCTCGGACGGGATCAGACCGACGCGGCGCAGATGGTGGCAAACCTGAGCACAGCGCAGGAGGCGGGGACAGCGACCGCGGCACTGCACAACCTGCCTGCCCTGGTTTTCGGGGTGCTGCTGATCGTCGTCATCATCTGCGGCAACTTGATGGTGTGTCTGAGTGTGTTCGTCGAAAAGGCACTGAAAACCACCACCAACTACTTCATCGTGAGTCTGGCAGTGGCGGATCTGATGTTGGCGGTGCTCGTGCTGCCGCTCTTCGTCTATTCGGAGGTGAGATGCGACGGAACATACCGTCTTTGGAGATGTTAATTAACTGAGAAGGACCCATAACTGAGAGACACAGCTTCCAGTTATGTCTTAGGCTGCTAATCTCACAGGAGTATTTAGATTCAGGGACCCTAAAAACTGTTGGATCTCTTTCTGAGTCTTTGGGCACCAGATGGCAGGTCATTGCAGTAGCAGTTCTGGATGGCGTTCAACCAACAAATTATTTGAAAAGGCATTAAAAAGTTCATTAAATGTGCAGAATAAACCCTATTAATAGCAGAATCCATTACCTCTTTAAAACCCATGTCAAACAGAAATTCACAGGAGCTGGTTGACTTGAGATATTTAATTCCAAAGTAAACCAAAAACATTTTGCTGCTACATAAAAGGTCAATTTTCACAATAGAAATTCCGTGTTTACATTTTCTGATCTTTGAGTTTTATTTCTGTAAAAGATTATATAGATTTTGCATAAAATATTAAACAGCAACAAACCAAAAAAACTAACAAACTAGGCAGTCGATGTTATTAAAATTGGTGAAAAACAGTAAGACCCATGCAGAAACCAGGAGACAGTTTGTGTAATCCACAAATTGATCTTCAGCTATGAAAATCACGATCACCCCAAATCTGCTTTTGTCAGCAAAGATATTCTCTAATGACTACATATCACCACCTTTCATTGTTCCTTATTGATCTTCAGAGTTCAGAGTGATGTTGTTATGCAATGCTCTGCAGGTTTGAAGCAAAGGTCAGTGGTGGTTTGACAGGGTCATGACCTGGTAAAGAAGCTGGACAGGACAGTTCAGTCCAGGTCAAACTTCCTGTTTACTCAGTAAACTCAGCACGTTACTCTGCACGAACATAAAGTGACTTGAAGGTAATAAAACAAAATAAAGAAAAAAACATTTTTTGAAATATCAAAGGCTGCCAGCAACCTTTAGCTGGTGGAGTGCAGTTCCTTTATAAAAAAATCTCAAATCACCAAAGTTTCAGACCTTTTTATGCTCAACCATCTCTGATTTGCATACAAATTTTATGGTCCAAAGTTTGGACAGGTAGGATAATTGCTGTGAAATTTTAGCTTCATATGTCAAATACTTATTACAGAACAATTACAGCTCCGGATTCATTTTTATGATAAGAAGGGGAAGTGAAATGTTCAGGTTTTTATCTTTAATAGTTTTCAACTTCCTGTTCAACAATTGACTCTGATTTCAATGTGTGGAAAAAATGGTCTGAAAATACAGCCTGAAAAGTATTTGATATATGAAGCTAAAATATCATAGGAATCATTGCATACATTCAAACTTTGTATCATAAAGAAACTGTAGAGTAGAAGGCCCGTTTTGATTTCAGATTGTGTGTCAAGGTAATTTTTGGTACGAGTAAACATTAAACGACAAGCATTTGTCTGCCTCTCAGTTCCAGGATGGTGTATGGACCCTCAACACTACCATCTGTGATGGTCTCATGACGATGGATGTTATGTTGTGTACTGCCTCCATCTTCAATCTCTGTGCTATCAGCATTGACAGGTCAGTACTCACCTGTACAGGTACACACAGCAGGATCTTGTGTTGTTCCCTTACATTGAAGCCGCACGGCAAGAGAACAGCAGACAATCAGCAGTTCGCTTGATGGACGGTATTTAACAAAAATCTCATCCTGGTGGTGATGATACAGGAAGTGCCAGTAGGTCAGTGATCTTGACAATAGGAACATTAGCTGAATTTCTTGGAACAAAATTTTAAGAACAATTACAAATTGTTCTTGAACAGTTGGGTCTCATTGAAAGTTATATTGCTTTCAAGAAGACCATACATCTGCAGCCTCTTCCCTTGAAGTTCACATATTGCTGTTTTGAACAGCAGTTAACACCAGCCTGTTTAAATGCTCTGGACCAGTAGCTGTGTAAAAGATTTTGTTTTGCTATGTTTATGGCTTTCAGCATATACTGAACATAAAGAGGTGTCACTTCAGTCATTGGTTAGCACGGGAATATGAAACCTGCCACAGCTTTCCACTTGGAGCCAGGTCCTTCCAAAAGAGGAAGGTTAGGCTTTTTACACTCTAAAAACTCTTCACTCTTGTTACACTCCCATGACAACACAAAAAAGAATTCAGAAACCACAGGGGTCCTAAAGCCTTTTAAAGTATTACTGATGTCAAAATAATGCAAAAAGTACCTAAGAATACCTGCAGCATTTACTACAATGTAGTAATGTATACTTTTTAGTGGAGTGAATACTGTAATATGTTTTACAGCAGTAGGTTCTGTGAAAGATGCAAGAATGCCGCTCAGATTAGGATTGAACTTTCCACAGAGCACTGTGGCTGTTCTGTGTCTGTTGTCCTATTACAGCTGATGTTCCACACCTTACAAACCATCGACGTCTGACACTTTAAACCCTTTGTATTTCGTTCATTTAGTAACAGTATGGATCTGAATTATTCCCCCTCTTTAAGCTGTTAAAATGCCTAACAGCTTTTCTTCAACACTCTAACTAAAAAGTAGACCTTAGAATAAATGGAGACAGCTGGAACCAGAGATCTTTTTAGTCTGATCTGCATGATTGAACTTTAAGATGGGTTTCAGGGAGCTGCCATGTTGCTCATAACGATGGTGCTGTCAGGCTATTAGAAGATGCTCTCCATATTAGCTTACAGACATTTCGTCTGTTAAAGAAGTGCTAAGTTCAGTTCATTAACTTCGCAGTTATTCAGTTATTAAACGTGACATTAGTAAATGTACAAACCACCAAGGTAAGTGGAAGGTCATCCTGTGGGAAACAAGATGTTAGTTTTTGTAAAGCTTTTCATTTAAATCCACACATTCTAACCTTGTGGTGAAATTAAAAGTTAAAAGATCATCAGATATATTTTAGTACTCTCCATTCTCTCGGAACTCAGGAATGTATCTATACAAACATACATCTTGAGATACATCACAGGAAACACTTTGAAATGCTACTGGCCAGTTTAAATGACTTTCATGTCAAGTTGATCCATCCTCTGTACAAAAAAATTAAAAGATCATGACTGAGAAAATGAGTGAGTATGACTCATCATCTGGGTGTTATGAATGTCCCGACTAGATTTTGTGCAAAACTATAAAGTAGATGTTGAGATAAATATCAAGAAAACAACTAGAAAATTCAAACAGACGTCACAAGACTCCGTATCCCATCAAAATATTTTTGTGTAGATAGTACATCGATAGATACTAATGAATGATACGTGATCTTATATTTATCTTATATATTCTACTCTACTGAAGGGCTCAAAGCATTTTATACAACATTCCTCATTCACACAAACACTATTCTATGTTTAAGTGCTTAAGCGTTAACTGAGAGTCACACACATTCATATAATGAACGCATCAGAGACCAACTTGGGGTTCAGTATCTTGCTGAAGTATGCTTTGGCATGCAGACTGGAATAGCCATCAAACCACCAACCTTCCGATTAGTAGATGATCTGCTTTGTCTCCTGAACTACAGCCACTCCGTTGTAGCTTGGACCACAATACTGGAAAAACAGATACAGGCTTAAACTCCATGTGTTCATTCCCGGAGTGGACTCCTAGAAAAAATATGAGGAAAAACTGTACAGTTGATGAAAAGAATGAGGTAAAGATTCACAACTAATGTAGAGACTCAAGACTCAAGAGTTTTAACTGGCCTCTCATGATTCAGGAACATTCAGGGACACCATCAGATCCAAAGCTTGTCAGGGTCCGATGGTTCTGATATGTCGGCGACCTTTTGTCTGACTCCTGTAAAAGAGCCAAAAGAAAACCCCCCAGAAAAGGCAAAAGAATTTAAATCCCCAAATGAGGGATGAGCCAACTGCTGATGAACTGCCAGGTTCGCTCGGCGCTTGTTAGTATGTCTCATGAGATTATCCGAACTCTCAGCCGATGTTGAGGGATGACAAAAATTCAGGATGCTCTTCAAATCTGATGTCCTGACTCCAGAAAATATGATTACATCAAAGACTGATGGGGAGCAGTGAAGTTAACGTGGACTGATGATGATGATCTGAAGCTTTTTGAAGTAGCCAGCAGCGTTTAGAGGTTTAACTGGATGACAGTCTGAATAATTCAAGAGGCAGGTCAGGAGGCAGAATCTGAAGGTCTGCACAGAGTCCACCTGCTGTTAATGTTCAGGTCTGAAGAAGGAACTCTTCTAGTTTTTAAAAAGCTGCCTGATAAGCAGCCGGTTTGACAGAGTCACTTTAGAGGGCTAGGGGCTTCTTTCAGAGTTTTATTTATTTACACAGTAAAAACAAAACAGAAAAAAAGATTAAGATGAAACTGGAAACATCCTACAGCTACAGCATCTTTCAGTCCCAACTGTAACTAATCACATAGTTACTGGCTGCAGTGTTTGAAGAGTACTTAAATTCTGCACTAGTGTGAAGATTCAGGTTAGTTTGATTTTATTTCCATAAAAAGATAAAATTGCCTTCAGTCTTAAAGAATTGTTAAGATGGATGGAATTGGTACATGCCAATTTTAGGTGTTCTCAGCAGCAGACAGCCTTCCTGTGGTGAGCACTCTGAGTGTGGAGAACTACAATGTACAGTGCATTCTGATACCAGAGGATAAATCCTTCAAGCCCACCTTGAGACATTTTAAAAATCGTTTTAGTTCTTCTGCTATAGGGTTTGCAAAACAAATAAATCCTCTGGATGGGTTTTGTTCTTTTGTGGCTGTAAGACCACTGCATGCTTTTGGACATACTGGGACAAGAAATAAGGATAATAACACAAAACACCATCAGTACCAACTTAGAACCATATATCATAAACAAAACCTAAACCTAGTGTAGCAGCTCTAAGCTGGCTGTGATGCCATATTTCTGGCCCCTCTTGCAGGTTCATCGCTGTGTCAATCCCGCTCAACTACAACAGGAAGCATGTGGACCTGCGGCAAGTTGTTTTGCTGTCGGCCACCTGGATCCTGGCCTTGGCTGTAGCCTCGCCAATCATCTTTGGCATCAACAATGTCCCAGGCCGCGATCCGAGGGAATGTAAACTAGAGAATGATGACTATGTTCTGTATTCTTCCGTCTGCTCCTTCTTCATCCCCTGCCCCATCATGCTGCTGCTGTACTGTGGCATGTTCCGCGGCCTGCGACGATGGGAGGAGGCACGTAAAGCCAAGCTGAAGGACAGCATCCAGGCGTGCCGCAAGCTGCAGGAGGCCACAGCCACGTTGCCTCCTCTGGCTTCGCTGCCACCTCTGCTGCCTCCCATTATAGAGCGAGACCCAGCAGATACTCTCGATGAAGCATCCACCTTGCAGTCCCCAGACCTGCCCCCGAACTCAACAGAGAACAAAGACGGCCCTGTGCCAGCGGTCAGTTTTGCAGAGATTAAGTTCAACCACGACCCGCGCAGAAGAAAAAGGGCCAAGATCAACAGCCGCGAGAGGAAGGCTATGAAGGTGCTTCCTGTCGTTGTGGGTGAGTTCACTTCCTTCGGTAGCATTGAGGAGACATTTTAACTGAAAACGTTATAATCTAAAACCAAGCTGCCTTTGTAGTGGAAATTGGTTCGCTGTTGTTATTGGCCCTGTCGCTGCTGTGGCATTGGTTGGACTCTGAATGCTGAGGAGGCAGGCCAACGGAAAACAAGGAATTGAACACTTTAACTTTTCCTTGATGTTCTGCAGATATATATATATTTTTAGAGCAATATTTGATAGAAGTCCTGTTATAGAAATCCACATCATTGGGCTTGTTTTCAGTAACATCCTAACCACATAAGGCTGAATTAGGAACGTGCCCTGGGCTTACAAAAGCCCAAAGTGCAGCAAATCTTGTTGTACTAAGAACAACACTGATGTAACACAAACAAATGGCACAATTTAAGTGTCACACATTAAAGGTGGGCCCTGCGGCTGGTGTAGAGTCTGGATTTCAGGGATAATTTTACCCACTTTGAAGATATAAATGGTGTTGAAAGGTCAAAACACCATAACATAAAATAAATACAATAAAAGAAAACATGAAATCAAACAAATATAATATCATGTGACAAAAACAAACTAAAACACAGGCACCACAACATAAAAAACACGATGGGACTCAAACTGAGTTTGAATTAACAGCAATGGTATAAAAGTGAATTTTAAGACGGGATGTAAAAGACTGGAGGGACCCTGCAGTATGAATATCAAGTGGCAGGATATTCCAGAGTCTAGGAGCCTGATCCTGACATGAAAGCCTGATCCCCTCTAAATGAGGTCATTGAAGAAGGTATGCATACTTACTGATATTCAAAATATATATTGTCATTTGAAAAACAATCAACCATCATTATTTTTCTTCTTGTCCTTCTTGCTAAAACTGTTGCTGTTGATTTGATTGTCGGCGAACCTTTAAAGTGAATGTTGTTATGTCAGACATCTCTGCTCTGCGGCTACCTGAACTCTTCACCGCCACCTCTGATGCCTATCCCGAGGCACTAACAGATCAATTAGAAAGGGGTCAGTCTATTAATAGCAGCCAGCTTTGCTCCCTAATGCGAACAAGTGCTTTCCTTTAGCACACAGCAGCCAATCCTTACAGCTCCTTAAGCTCAAATCCAATTATTGGTTAAGGCCATGTCAGGTGCATGTTTAAGTGTGCAGGTAAGGCTCATGTTTAAGTGACAGTCTGAGCAATATAATCCAAATATATTAGGTGGTTTATACAGTACTAGTTAAGGAAAAAATACTTTTAGAAAGCTCGTTGCGAGCACTGTTTTATCAATAGCTATAAATTGTGTTTGGGTCAGGTGCTCTCCATTATCAATGGGATCAATGAGAGAAAATATGAGAGAAAGAAACTCTAAGTTACAATGTCCTAAGTGGATTTTTACCAAATTAAAAAAATGAATTTTTGGTACAGGTAGCCTGAGAAAGATGTATACTGAGTTAGTTAATCAGAGAGGCTCAGTGGACAAAAGCGAGTGTTGGTATAGTCGTTTTGTGACCAGAGGTTATAGTGATGCACAGTAATTAGTTTTTTCTACTTTGATGCAATGGTTCCATAATGTGGTGGTTTAAACATTTATTTAACAAGACAAAGATCCAAAACATGCAGAACAACACAAATACTGGGAATAAATCCAAAAATCATAACATGAGACTTAGTGTTCAATCCCAGTTGGTAGATATGAAGGGCACTTAGTGGGTTAAAGTAACCAGGTGTCCCACTTTAAACCAGACTGTACAGCATTTTCAGTCTTCAGTATCTCCATCTTCATCTGCTGCTGTGGTGACTCGTCATCAACATTTAGATTCCAGGAGATTCTGTCCTAAATCCTGTCACGACTGAGATCTGTTCTGCTTTGATGGTTAATTGCCATATAGCGGGGGAGATACTCCTCTACTTGAACAAGCTTGATTATCTACATTTTTGTTCAGAAATTGACATACAGACATCATGGGCATGCATGCCATGGTCATTTTGGTCCATCATTTGAGCTATTCTTTTTCCAGGGTGGGATGATTGTACAGCATATATCTTTCATGACTTAAAAACAGATTTAGGTGCACAAATTTGAATGTATTCAGGATTTTCTTTAATTGACACATGGTCAAAATAATATATACAGGCTCAAATATATACACAGATTCTCTTAAATATAATACAAGTGGTCATGAAGGTTCTATAATTTGCTAACTTGACAAAATCATGGCCTAATTTCTTGTTAGTGATTGTGATTGAATAAAACCAGTAGTTTCTCTTTGCCAGCATAAAAAGGATTTATTTGAAAGCACTCATTGGACTAACTAATACTCAGAACAGTGTGAAAGTCCATAAAACTTAGTGTAGATCAAACAAGGAGAACTGTAGATTTACATAATTTGGGAAGGTCTCTTGAATGAATCAATTTCCAAACAACTGCAAATTCCAAAATCATCAGTTTAAAAAATTGTATGCAAGTACAAGTTATTCAGATGTGTCACCACTTTGCCAAAGTCTCGAAGGAGACCCAATCTTTCACCCTCAAAAGATAGGAAAAGGATGTTCAGGAACAATCCAGGAATCACCAACACCCAATCCTGTCATGAATTGGAAACTGCTGGAACACTACCATCAGTGTCCACAAGGAAGTGAGTTTTACATTGAGACCGTGCTGACCAAGAAAGAAGCTGTGCTCCAAAATTGGGACTTTCAAGCTTGACTGAAATTTGCAACTGCCCACATAGACAAGCCAAATGCCTCCTGGAGAAATGTTTTATGGTTAGACAAGACAAATATTGAGCTATTAGCCAGTGAAAGAGGGAGTAATGGTGAGACTTTAAAACCTAAGAACACTATAACGATTGTCAAGAGTGGTAGTGGTAACATCATGCCCCAAGGCTGTTTTGCTGCTAGTGGCACTGGTACATACACAAAGTGGATAGAGTAATGAAGAAGAACTGCCTCCAAATTCTTCAACTTCACCTCAAGTTGGAAACTTGTAGATGATTAAAACTTGGACACAACTGAGTATTCCAACAGGACAGTGGTCCACATTAAGTCCAAACATTAAGTTTCACTCATCTTCTTGCTTTCTTGAGTGTGCAAAGAATCTATTCTTATCATTACTTCGACTTTCCCATACCACCAAACTCAATGCTGACACCATTGCTGTAATCCAGTCGTCGCCTTTGAATCCTATCACCAGTGAGATCTGTTCTGCTATCATGGGTCAGTGTGGTCAAATAACTGAAGTGAATTCTGTATCTCAAAAAATCCTGTTTAATTCTTCCAAACAATCTCTCTTATTGAAATATCAGTGGGGACGAATGCATATATTTTTATCCCTGGATGTATACTCTTGACTCTGTGTGGATTCAAATTTCTGGACCCTGAATTCTTGTTTTTCCACCCTGGAAGAAGACCAGTCCAATCAAATCACTAGTCCAATTTTACCATGACATTCATGTGCATGACAAATGTATGTAAACCTCTGTCCACAACTAAATATATTAATACTATGTTAATATGCATAATATGTGAATGATATCTGTTTTGCTTAACTTTAAAATGAAATGTATTTTCTCTGTAAACGCTGACTTTTTGCTCTTTAGGATCAGAAGTATTGATTTCACAGAGACGAAGCATTCATCTCCTGATTCCTGTTTCTCTCCCAAAGGTGCCTTCCTATCCTGCTGGACTCCTTTCTTTGTCCTCCACACAATGCGAGCACGCTGTCAAGAGTGCCACATCCCGCCAGCCCTAATGAGCGTGGTGACGTGGCTGGGCTATGTCAACAGCGCCCTGAACCCCGTCATATACACTGTCTTCAACACTGAGTTCAGGAACTTCTTCAAAAAAGTCCTCCAGCGCTGTTGCTCATAGAACTACCGGAGTGGACGCTGCTCCGTGGACCATTCTTAAACGCACAACAGCTGCAAGAGATGCTGCTGACTGTTTATATACTGTCTTTAGTCTGTTTATGTTGCCATGGTTTCCTTCCTCTGTGAGGTTTTTATTTTTCTACATTTGATGACAGCAAAGTGTGTTTGAGCTTCATGTTTCATGTGAAGAAGCTATTCTCTTAGTCTATAAGGTGGATCAATAGCATTTTTGCCATACACAACTTATTTTATATGTTGAAACTCATCTTTTCAGAATAAATGTTTTTGCTGAAAATACACATTAATAAGAATAGTCTCTTTCAGAGTTTGAGGCCCGCTTGAGAAAATGTTGACGAGTGCACAGATGAATCCAAGATGTAGGTGGAAGCAGACGGGTGTTGTGGAAGTTTTCCATTTAAATAAAGCCTGCAGACGAGCGGTGAGCGGTAGCTAACGTTCTTTAATCCAAACTTTGCTTCCCCCCAACTTCCTTACTACACCCCCACCATTTGTCTTGCTGTATGAGTGTCAGACATGTTAAAATCCAGCGGCACCAAGGCATTATACAATAAAATAATGTGATTAATACATAAGTAAAAGAAATTCCTATACACGGGCAATCATTACGTCGTCATAAAATCATTTGTAAGCCCTTTTGCCAGGAAAGTAGTTGAAAATGTAGTCATCAAATGCCACTGAAATTTTTTAATCTGCCATGGTGGAGTGTGATGTAGGACCCAAATGCAGATAGAGTGAGCTGGAGTACGAACAAAAAGCCAGCTGTTTATTTAGGCTGGTAACCCAATAGCAAAACCAAACAGAAATCAGCATGATCAAAACTGGAGCACTAGGGATTCTAGGGAATACATGGGATTTAGGGATTTTATAAACAAAAAAATAATCCCATTAATAACTGAAAACACCATAAATACAAGAATCTGAAAATAAATCCAACACTTGAGCAGAAACCCAGGGTCCATGGCAATAATCCTCTTAACCTCCCAAGGCTAAGTTGTTTTTGTTTTTGTGTTGTTCTTGAGTGTTAAACTGTTCACACCACACATTACACATCTATTCCATTAAAGTCATAACAACAGACTTTATGATTCAAGTCATCAGGTAGCAGGTAATTCCCACTAGGCTGAATGAGCTAATCCAGTCAATGCCTTTACATTCAAATGAGTTCCCTCTGCTCGAGACTTGTTCTATTACTGACTAACTTTTTTAAGACTGAAAGCTGGGGGCGTGGCCACTTCGATCAATATGTGGACACTGTGTGTTGCACTTCACTTCTTGTTGGATTCACTTAATTGGACTTCTGCTGTGTTTGTGTTGCTGATGCCTTTTGGAGTTTTTTGTTTGTTTCTTTGTTTTTTTTATGGAATTATCTGATATATAACATGATGATATATAACATTATTCTTCAGATTTTAAGAATGAAATTCATGTTGCAAACACATGTGGTGTTTGTAGATGAAGATCAGATCCCCAGCAGCTAGAACACTAACCCCACGGCTTTAAAATGAGTGCACAATCCAAATGGTGATGCCAGGGTGGCTATGTCTATCTCATATATACAGTCTATGGTTATTGTGAGTGGAAATGGCCACATGTAGGTTAATATTACTGTCATGACCCAAGAAAACAATTTCTAAGCAACCATATTCAGACATGGTAAAAAGTAACAAGTACACTTTCAATTCTTAAGTTTTACACAGTAGGACATGAAAAACAAACAAACAATCATAACCTGAACATGACATATTACTCCACAATGTCATTATGTATTTAAGAATTAATTGAGGTTTGTGGTTTTATGTACAACTCTCACTTTGGGCCAAGCTTTCGCTGTCAGAGAGATGGTCACACATTTGACTCTGTAATACTTTAGGAGTTTATGACTGGATCAAATCATTGCCCTTCCACAACCCTGCTTGACAGTTGGTGTGAGATGTATGTGGTACTGGGCATTATGAGAAAAAATCATTACTTTTGGTCTCATCGCCCAAAAGGACGTTGTTCCAGAAGTCTTGTAGTCTGTTTAGATGCAGCTTTGCAAAAATAAACTGTGCTGCCATGTTCTTTTCTTTTTTTCCTGGCAAACCTTCCAACCTTCCACAAGCCATACTTGTTCAGTCTTTTTCAAACTGTATTGCCATGAACTTGTCTGCTTTTATAGAGGTGGACACACATGTTGGTGATTCGTTAGTCAAGTGCATTTGATTAGCAGCACCTGGCTGCTATATAACCTCTTAATTCCTATGGAAGCAGTATGGCTGTACTTAGGTTTTCTCATTGTTTTTGCATTTTTCTTAAATAAATAATGATACTGAGTGTTTCTTTTCCAGCCACCTTTTTCACTCACTATGTGTTTATACACCAAACTGCATTTAATTATTAGTTATTATTAACCTCTGGCTCTCTTCTACAGCACGTCTTTGTCCTGTCCTCCTCCCCCCTGCCCCCAACCGGTCGCAGCAGATGGGCGCCCCTCATTGAGCATGGTTTTGCTGGAGGTTTCTTCCTGTTAAGTGCTTGCTCATAGGGGGTCATATGATTGTCTTGATTTTCTCTGTTTTCTCTGAATTATTGTAGGGTCTTTACCTTACAATATAAAGCGCCTTGAGGCAACTGTTGTTGTGATTTGGTGCTATATAAATTAAACTGAATTGATATGAAATACAGTCTCATGTGTTGTTCATCTGAGATTGCATTTCCTAATGTTAATATCTGATAAGGACCAGATTATCTTTATTATGTGTTATACACTCCTTAGGGTTGAAATAGGGCATTCTTACTTTTTGCTATCGCTCTATCTTGATTTCGCAATTTAGGTGTTTTCAAATCATATTTTTTCATTATGGATAATTAGATCATCCATAATGATTACCAAAAAGAATTTCACTGCGGCACCACCATGTAATTTATAACACTGCTACATCACTGCAGCAAAGGGAGATTGTAAGCCATAATGTCAGCAGAAGTAAGCTTTATAACTAGTGTTTAAGTTGCTCCTAACATCAGTCCTGACTGAATGGGGTCCCTACAGAACCTTGAACACACAAAAGAACATTATCATTATTTGATAGTGAAAAGTCAAGAAGGCCAACAGATTACATCAATCAAAACAGGCCAGGCCAACAGGGAAGGCGATTTTTTAAATCCCTCAACTCTACATTTACAGATGTAAATTTTGGCATTAAGTCAATAAAATTGCCTCGCTGTGGTTAGGCTAAGCAGTAAGTGCCAGAAATGGCTCGTTCCGTCACTATCAGTGATCAGCAGCAGACACCTGAGTGCTGCTGGGCCTGAGACCCAGCAGAATCAAATGTCATGTCCAAAATGATTAATAAGGAGTCACTCTAATATAGCAGGTAGGCTACCAACTTGTTATTAAAAAGCAAAACTCTATTTAGCTGCACATCAGGGAAATTAAAAAAGCTAAATGTGCAAAAAGAAGAGAAATGGCCTTAATGTATAAAATAACAACCAAAAAAAAACCAAACAAATAACACTAGTAGTTTGCTGAACTCTTTTTATTAATCAGTGAAACACAAAGAAAAACGATCTTTACCTTTATATTTACAATTGCTTATAATACCTGTACATTCTTTCTGGACTTCAAGGGCTCTGTAGCAACAGAATAACACACATATACAAATGTAAGAAAATAATAATTTACATACATAGTTTTTGCCAGAAAAAAATCAAAACATTCAGGACAGCAGTTTTGTTTGTTTCATGTTCAAGTCACTTCATCATCCTGAATTAAAGATAGATCCTCAACTTTAAATTCTCTAAATCCTCATCAGTGATAACCAACTTTGATTCTTTAATATCAAAATATGTCATTTCTGTCTGCTGAAAAATGTTCTGCAAAGTTTTGGCATGAGGGGACTGAAACTGAAAAATTTTCCCCAAAACACATTGTTATTTAACTCTAAAAATAATTGTCTTGCGTTTCATCATCAAAATGTAGACGTCAAAAGATTGACCAACTTTCTTCTGATTGGCTCTCCCTTTCAAACAGAAGGATTCAATAGCAGGTTGCAGCAGCCAAAGCTGATTTCCTGAGATGACCATATTAGCACTTTGAAGTCTGAACTTTTGACTCACAGGGATTACTTGTACATACACTGAACCCAAAATCTGGCCACTGTGCTCATGCATACATAACAAAAAAGAAGATGTCCTCTTTAATCAGGACTGTTTTTAGAGAATAATGAGGTAAACGAGGTAAAATGGCAACAGCGGAGAGGTAACAGTGGCTGATGGAAGATATAGACCATATGACAACTGATGACACAATGTAATAAAGTCGCTAAAATATGATAGAATTAGGGACAAGATAAATTTATGATGAAAATATTAGTTAGAACCACCACTTCATTGGATACTGCTGCAATAAGACTCCTTAATACTTTTCATAAATGCTAAGTCAGTCTAGTCTAACTTCAGCTCTCACTCCATCAGTGACCTTTTTTTACATGTCAGCCTGAGAAAAAACCTTCACACTAAACTCTCTAAATACTGCTATTTTCAAGCAGGTGTGTTCTCCCAGTTTAGGTCATTCAGTCTGCAGCAGCTGTTAACCTCACTGAAACGATGCACACGCTTTTTCCTAAACTGCTACACCTTCACTTCACTTTGTCCATGTCAATGGCTGTGATTGGCTCTTCCTGCTGGACAGCCATGCCCCCTGCTGACTGAGTGCAGGTGTGTTGATGGTCCTTCCAGTCCTGTGGACAAAAGAGACGGACGTGTGAAGTGACTGATTTTGAAAATCAAGTAGCAACCTTTTGGCATGAAAAATGAAAAGAAAAATGTCAAAAACTGCCTGCAAGGCCTCAAACATGTGTTTACATTGTTAGTGCCTTTATGAACATTTTAACTGAATGATCTTACAAATAGTATGGCTTCCTGTGTGGTACAGATCATCTAGAAGTCTGTGCTTCAGTTTTAGTGGGTAAAGTTCTAGTATTGCAGCATAGTCTGACTCCTTCCCATCATTTAAATCATGATTAAAAACGCACTTATTTAATCATTCTTTCCCAGTTAGTTAACGCCTGTATTTTATACTTAATTCCAATTTTATCTTTCTTTATATCTTTTTCTACTTAAAACCTGTGTGTTTTTAGCAACTTTGATTTGATATTCATTTTTATTCTTGTGTAATTAGTGCCATTGACCTGTAAGCATATTCAGTACTTTGTTAATGGTCTTATATTATTCATGTTTTAACCTGCTGTTTTATTGTGAAGAACTTTGGTATACCGTTGGTTTTTCAATGTGCTATATAAATAAAGTTGTATTGTATTGTATTGTAGTGTAGTCTATAGTCTGTTACTTTATAAAAATTATAGTGTACCTATGAGGGGATTAGTTTATGAATGCAGCTTGCTGACAATATTTGTTAACTTTAGCTGATAATTTAGGATTACCTCCAAATATGGTCACCTCTGGAAAAAAAACATGGCTGCAGCCAACACACGTATATTAAGGCTTTAAAAACCAAACCAGTAAGTTATAATATTAGCTATTTGCAAATATATCAGTAAGAAGAAACAGCAGAAACACTTTACAGGCATGTTATGAGTTTGATTTTGCACAACTCTTCAACACCCCTGTTGGAAACACGTTTGAAACCCAACAAATCCAACTACCAGCTGATTTGAATGTAACAGAGTAATCAACGACTGCTGTAACAATAAATTATTTTTTAAACTGCACTGTCATGAAAAAACATTAGTAAAGACTCATAACAAATGTCAGGGAAATCTGTCTATTTTTTGTGTGTCTGACAGAAAAAAGACAGTTGAGTCTTACCTTCCTCTGGCAAAATGTGGAGCAGTAGTTGACTTTGTGACAGCCTGTGCACTCACTCATCGCCACCCGGCCACAGTTTACGCACATCTGCTGCAGAAACAAAGCAGGAGCCTGTGAACATGATAGCTACAGCATTCAGCTCTGCAGAGGATTCATCAAGAACTTTGTCACTGAGAACTCTTGTCTTGATAACTCGTTATATCTATATGTTTCTTTACAGTATATGGTATAATCCAAAAGCTTGATTAAAAAAAGAAAAGAAGACTAAAATTCTCTGCTTCCATGTGTTTTTTTTTTTATATTTACACTGGAGTTTTAGATACACGAGGTGTTCAATGCAGTATTTGTGCCTCAAACTTTTGGGGTAATTTGCAAATCAGAATTTTTTAACAATAAGATGTAAATAATCTTAAAAAATGTATTCATTCCATGACCCAGGAGCTAGTTGCTATAATTACTACATTGCACCTGACCCTTTTGGCACCTCCTGCAGATGATGGGCCCACAGAATGACTGGGCCATGTGACTCATTCGGGCTCAGCCCCATGGGTTAAAGACTTTGATTACTAGGACCCTCAAAACCCTCCAACATGACAAGGTGGCAGCTGCAGGCATGAGAAGTCCATTCCATGTCAGAATAGAAGCAACAAATTAAAGTATCTCAGGGTCTTATTCATGAATGAGGGGAAAGTCGCGTGGGAGACTATTAAAAAAAACAAACAAACACCTAATTGTGAAATGTAGTGTGCTTGGAACTAAAAGTGTGGATGTCTCAGGTCACAATACTTCTTTAAGACTTGTGCTAAATAAGAAATGTAAGGAATTTCAATAATATTTTGGAGCAAGTGAGTGTGTATGTAAGCATGTCATACATTGATGATGATCTCAGTGATTTCAGTGCCCCTCTTAGCTTCAGAGTCATCTGGCTGCTGAAATGAGATCTGGTTCTGAAACGGCTGGGTAAGACCACACTAAACACACACACACACACACACACACACACACACACACACACACACACACACACACACACACACACACACACACACACACACACACACACACAAAACAAAGATTAAAGTCAAATCCATTTGTTGTTACTGCTGATCTAAATCTCACACCTTTTGTGTATGTGTGTGTGTGTGTGCTCACCTCCTTCCTGCCGCCATTACTTCTGACCCCTACAGGGTCCCCTGCAGAGTTTTTGGCCTGTTCGATCAGAGCCTTGAGCTGCTGGACATTGTTCAGCAGTGTGTTGGCCATCTCCTCCAGGTATATCCAAGTGTTCTTCTGCCCCTCGCTCACTATTGGCTCTGCTCCCCCAATAGGCCCCACATCAAGCCCAGCCACAAGCCCTGCCGATGGAGACGCCGCTGCAGCTGCCACTGCGACTTTGGCCTGAACTGGCTGATGAGCAACAGCTAACGCTGGCAATGCCGTTAGCACTGAGCGAGAGAAGAAAAGACAGCTGTGGATCTTTTTCTGCTACACTGTCTGAAATTTGCTGTTACAGTTTCATGAAAATCTGGTGTATCCTATTATTAGAATATTTCCTAAGATCAACTAAAAAAATGGATTTACAATAAAGAAATGTCCAACGTCTGAAAAGTATCTTTATGTACAAACTCAGTATTTGGCTGAATGTCTTTGCCACTAACTGCTGATTCAGCATGGTGTGGCATTGAGGTGATCAGCTTTTGGGCCT